TAAGGCTCCTGAGAAATAGAACCCCAAGAGGAAATATGTTGACAGCATTTCCCAAACTTACTTGATGGCCCCCCCGCCCCAGTATGCAGAATTTATTTTGATCAGTATTCTGAAGAAAACACTATGGCCCCAAAACAGTTAGTATGGTCAAGGCCATATTTGGCTTCAGCTAGTCAGAATCCTCTCCTCTGGAGCTGGAGGTGAACTCAACTCCATCCAAACTAAATGAGAACGAGGAAGCATGAAGCTGTGGAATAGAGACAGGGTATGTGGGAGAAGTGACCTCTAAGCCAGCTGAACGATGGGGAAGGTGGAATTACCAGGTGATGTTCCTTCCCTCCTGGTCTAGCACGGGGTTAAAAGCTAGCTAATTCTAGAGTTCTCTCGGATCTCCAAAGACAAAATAAAACATCTAAAACCACTGTTAGTAATCCAAAAAGATCCAGAACACAGGAGGAAGCCCTAAGTCTGCTAAATCAGAGATGATTTAGGAGCTAAGCAATTCCCAGCCCCCAAGATACTTGTGCATTTATTAATCCAACAGGTATAGCTGTGGGGACATAATTGAAGGAGGAAAGATAATGTTGGGTAAACTTTTGGGTAATAGTAGCAGGTGAGCATCACAAAAAAAATCAGCACTTAGTGGAAGGTTGTTTTACCGAGGACCTCAAGATTGCTTCTTTTCTCGGATAGGGGTCCTATTTGGCTCTGGGCTTCCCTGCCACCCTGCCTCAATTCAGCAAACACGCGTGGGCACCTACTATGTGCAAGTTGTCATGCTACGTGTTAGAAGGTAGAAGCATCGTCTTTTGCCATTCACAAAGCACTTTCCTACATATGATCTCAATTTAGTGATTCTGAAACAGACTTTCACTCAGAAAGTCAGAGTAGAATCATCCATTTATCTGTGTGACCTTCGGCAAGTCGTTTTGTCTAAGCCTCAACTTCTATGGTAACAATACCAAGTTCCTAGTTCAAAGGATTGTTGAGAGCAATCAATGAGCTATTACAATATTACAACAGCTTAGCACAGAGTGACCTCTCAATTAAAAGTTGTCATTACTTTATTATTCATTCTTGGTCCACTTATTCACACAATAATCCTGTGATGTTGATAGTTAGCTTATTTCACAGATCTTCATTGAGCATCTATTATGTTCTAGGTGCTGAAGACCCCTAGTGAGCAAAAGAGCAGTTAGATACAGAAAAGGGGTCCCATAACTGAGCCCACAGAAAAGGAAGAGGAGCTATCAGAGAGAACTCAGAGGAAACCTGAGCACCAGGAGAGGCGCATCATGGAAGAGAGTGGCCAACTTCAGGAAACACCGAGAAGTCAGCAGTGAGATGATGCCCCAAAGAGACCATTGGCTTCTGGAACACGGGGTTTCCAGGTAAACAGGTGGAGGCAGAAGCTCGACCCAGATTGATCTGAGGAGGAATTGGAGTTGGTGTGGAAACAGCACGAAGAGAACTCACGAAGTTTTGATGTGAAGCGGAGCAAAAAAATGGGGGAGGTGGCTAGAGGGAGATGCAGGATCGAGGAGATTTTTAAAACGCTAAAAAAATATATGGTGCATGTGATTTTAAGCAGGTGGGAATTTCGGTCCAGGCTAGAGGGAGAAATTGGTGACTAAGGAAAGAGAGATGCAGGGTGCAAGTGGAGGGGTTGGCTCTGGTAGGTATACAAACCCTTCATCCACTGTAAGAGTAGGGAAGGCAGAGAATGGGAGCAAGGTGCAGAGTTGCTAGTAGTCCAGAGGGCTCCTGTCTGATTGATTTTATTTTCTATGTGAAGTATGAGGCAAGCTGATCTGCTCAGAGTGAAGGATGAGAAGCGGGTAGAGGAAGAAGAGTGAAAAAATCATCCGTGTAGAGCACAGGGAATTTAATATAGCAGGGAAATAAAAGATTGCTAGGCAGGACTGAGAGCTTTGAAATCCGTGGACATCAATTTAAAGTGACACCAGTCACTTTTAATTTCCTAGCAAGGTTCAAATATTCTGATGTAAGCAGAGAGTAGGGGAAGCTGAGAGTGGGCTTAACTAGGGTTGGGCAAGTTAGAAGGAGAGGGGACAAAGGGGCTATGGGATTTTTCAAGGAAGTGAGTATAATGATCATTACTAAGTTGGTAAGGAGGGAAGGGAGCATGAGAGAAGATAAACATGAAAATCTGGCAGAGTCACAGGTTTGTAGGTCTTGGTGAGGTTGAAAACATGCTGTGTGTGATACTGTAGGAGGCTAAGGTCAGATTTGAGATCTTTGTGATTGTGAGTTTGGTGAGAGGAAGTCCAGGGTTATACCATGGGAGTGGGTACCTGGAAATGGGAGAAAACTGGTAGGAAGAAATGAGTAATGAGAAGTTAGTAAGATTTCTGATGGATTATGCTCATGGATGCATAAAGTAAGGTACAGGAGGTGAGGTGGAGGTCAGTTAATGAGAGCAAAGAGAGAGAAGGTGGAGAAATATGGTAGAATGAACTTCAAGGGGGTTGGGTTTTTGAAAGAGGAAGGGAGGAGAAACAGTACTAAAAATATTTGTGGTGCTTGCCTGCCTACCCGCAGCCCCTTGTAGGCAGTCGTGTTTAATGCTACATGCCCCCATGCTCATAGCAATAGTTGAAAGGCTTCTTTTCAATCTTATTTTCTTCAAATAAACAGTCACGTGTCACTTCTTTCACCAAACTTTCCCTTGTGCCCTTGTTTATCCCTTGGCTTCTAGGCGGGACACCACCTTCTCGTGGTCCTCTTCCTGTCTCCCAGGTCATTCCTTCTCAGTTGCCTTGCTGGTTCTTCTTAATCTTCTTAACCTCTCCTCTCTACATGCACCTCCTAAATGGGCTCACCTAGATGTCTTGTGCTTTTAAGTACCTTAAAATATCATTTATTAGCTGACAGTTCTCATAAGTTTATCACCAGCTCCAACTTCTTCCCCCAACTCGATTTCAATATCTGCTTGACACCTTCATTTAAATCTCCGATAGGCAATCTCAAACATAACTTGCCCCAAACTGACTCTTTCGCTGCCTCCCACCGTCCCCCACATCTCCCACAGATTAATAAACAGCAAATCATTCCGGTGTGGATCAAGCTAAAAATCTTAGCATCATCCTTTTTTCTTTTAATGCCACCAAGTCATCTGCAAAGATCAAGAATACAAGTAGCCACCTCAGCGCTACTGCCCTGGCGGATGCACCTTGCTCTCTCTGCTGTGTGACTTTGGGTTATTTCTTGTGTTCTCTGTTATGAGGATTAAATGAGTTATTATTTGTAAAATGGTTTACAGTGTCCATCACATAGGAAGTCCCATATAAGTGCTTTTTAGATAAATAAAAAATGCCTTAAATACAGAAATAGCTTTCTAATGGCCCTAGTCCCCCTACAGTCCATTCAGAACACAGCAGCCTTCTGACCCTTTTAAAGGGGGGCCAGACCCTGTCACTGCTCTGCACCTGACCTCAGCTCCCACTGCTTTCCTCTTGCTCCTTCTGGACCAGCCACCTTGACCTCCTTGTTCCACAAACAGACCAAGGACTATCACCATTGGGTCTTTGCTCTTGAGTTAGGCCCTGTTTTGCTAACCTGCCTACCTGTTCCCTTACTCTGATTTTCCTTCACACTGGTAATCACCACCTGACACTCTATTTACCTAGCAGTTGATTGTCTCCTCTCCAACATTCAACGTCTGCAACACAACGGGCTCTCTTGTTCACTGCTCTACTCCTAGAGCCCAGAACAGTGCTTGGTACACAGTAGGTGCTCAATAAATACTTACCAAGTTAAAATAATTCCTAAGTGACACTTCCTTCTCTGAATTCCATAATACGGGTCTGAATCACTCTTGTGGGGCTTACCTATATCAATTTTTATGCCGGTGGCAGGTATTACTGGACTATTGAGCTCCCTGAGAACATGGCCTAGCTCCTGGTAATAATTTCTATAATTAATGCAACACTTTACAGGTTACATTCTCCTCACAGGTGACCCGATTTGATTCTCACAAAAGAGAGCCAGCAAGTTAGGGAGGGCAGGGCTAGCATCCCAGGTCTCCTGCCTGCTTGACCAAGTTCAACAAGTATCTGTTGAATGAAGAGAAATAAAGAAAAATAATTTGAGTCACTCTGGAGTGAGGTCGCCCCACTGGATAAACGGGCTGGTTCTCTGTAGTACGTCTAAAAATACCCATAACGCCTAACATTTATCGAGCCCAGTATTCTAATCCCTACCTGTGTCGTCCTCACAGCTATCCTATATACCCCATAGGTATTAGGCCATCTTTAGGTCTTGTTCAACCTCTATTCTCTTTTGGTGCCTCAAACAAGGCCTGGTATGTAGTAAGTGCTCAGTGAGTGGTGTGGCCCGAGGCTTTTTTTTTTAGAGATCGGGCTCAGGTGCAGCGACTTGCTCCAAGTCCCACACATAGCAAGTGGCAGCGCTGGGATTCCATTTCGGGTTCGCTCACTACACTCTCGCTGGGCTGGGTCCGCGGGCCGCACCAGTTCCGGGTCCGCCGCGGGAATGGGCGCGTGCCCCGGGTGGGGCGGGGAGGGACTG